GCAGTCAGCATTTGTAAGAGGCTACAATGAGATGCCTTCTAGAACTTGGCAATACAATTAAGTAGAGAGTTGAACAGTAGAGTGTACACGCAGATGAGATGAGCTGCCTGCAGGAATCACTTTAAAAGGTAAGTGAGCTTAGTGAAGGCAGAAAGGGCTTGTCTTGAATGCTGGTCAAGATGTGATTAAACATGGAAGAAGCAATGGCGTAATGAGAGCACTGAGATATTTGCAGAAACATGGTATGGGGTTGTGGGGCTTGTATGGACACAGAAAAAGGGGCCAAGAGGGAAGCCCATCACTGCTTTTCCTCCTCTGTCTAAGGACCAGATACACAGGTAGACAGGCCCCTTGTCTGTGGGAAGGAGTCTGCTGGGTTAGGGGGTGGAGCAGTGGAGACAGTGGGCTAGAGCGCAGACTCTACAGCCAGAGTGACTGGGTTCAAACCCTGCCTGCCCCTGGCAGACAAGCTGTGCTACACTGGGCAAAGATAGGGACTTCTTGAGCTCTTTTCCTGATCTGCGAAATGGGGCTGCTGACATCTTGCTGTGGAGACTATGCACAGGAAGCTTAAGGTAGACGTGGAGCTATAATTATTATTAAGAATGATTTTATTACTGATGAATAATGACTTTATTCAGCAGTTCCTAGGAAGGTTGTTGAGTAGAAGCCAGCCCCTGAAGCTGTTCTTTTTTGAATGTGCTGAGTAAAAATAAGGCCCTTGGGCTTGCACTGAGGCCTGGCCCTGAGCCTGGGTGACCAAGCGACCCCCAAGGCTCTGCAGGGCAGCAGGCTCCTCGACGCCCGATCTTCAGTTAAAACTGCAACCAGGCCGGGCGCGGTGGCTCACGCCTATAATCCCAGCACTTTGGGAGGCCAAGGCGGGTGGATCACAAGGTCAAGAGATCCAGACCATCCTGGTCAACATGGTGAAACCCCGTCTCTACTAAAAATACAAAAAATTAGCTGGGCATGGTGGCGCGTGCCTGTAGTCCCGGCTACTCGGGAGGCTGAGGCAGGAGAATTGCCTGAACCCAGGAGGCGGAGGTTGCGGTGAGCCGAGATCGCGCCATTGCACTCCAGCCTGGGCAACAAGAGCGAAACTCCGTCTCAAAAAAAAAAACAAAAAACAAAACTGCAACCAAACACTACCTTACATGGCACGTGGGAACTGAATACCAAGGCTGTGACTGTGTGTGAAACAGATGCTATTTGGTGGGGGATATCAAGTGTTACGTGCTATAAACCCAATGTTGCCAACAAAAGGGCCTAGACAAAGAGTTCTGGACATTACCAGGAGTGGTGACTATGAGCAGATACTGCGGACGGTACGACTTACCTGCACCTCAGGAAGTCTCGTGAAGGTTTAATGGGATAATGGGCATACACTATTTCCTAGCACGTAGGAGGCGCCTGATATAGAAATGTTTCACACTTTGCAAACGTGAGTTTTTGTTTTGAGGTCGGGTGAGAGGCATTACTCTACACTCCAACATAGCAGATTTGTTCTGGTACCAAAGAAAAAAAATCACGTTTATTTTACAAGGCAGTATTTTCCTAAAGTGTTACACACCAAGGAAAGTTGAGCTGTCTGTAGGAAAACCATATAATTTTAGGAAATTACAGAAGAGTCCACATTGTGCTTAAAACTTTAAAATAGTTTTTTAAAATAGCACAGTAAGTGAATATTGCAAGGTATGACCAGCCTTAAAAAGGGATGTGAACACAATATGGAGGCTCACTATGAAAACCGCTAGTGACAGGTCGCTCTGAGAAGTGTTCGGGCTACTAAGAGAACACTGCTTCAACCTTCACTGAAAAAAGAATTCATAGCACTCACTGAAACATGGCCTTTTCCTAAAACAGCTCTCAGTTATTCGCAGTAATGAAAAAGAGCAGTGACAATAGCAGTGACAATTTTTAAATGGTGAATAATCCCAAAATGAATGTTGAGAAGTGCCCTATTTACGTTTGGATGTGAGAACCACTGACTTCCAGGAAGTGGCAGCACTGATCAAGTGCGTGGACCTCCCACTTGTTCTCCCGTCTTCCCTCCTCCTCAGTGGGAGAAGACAAAATCGTACTACTGAAAAGCCTAAAATATAACTGGTTTCCTCTTCTGGTTCACACCTCCTCTACAGAAGGGGACAGAAGAGCAAACTGTTAAAACTTTGTTTTCCTCATGTAAAAAAGCCAAAATGTGACAATAAAATTTTGCAAACAAACAAGATGTGGGAATAAATAAGAGCTGACCGTATAAATATTCTAACTGGTGCTTTTTCTCCTGCCTGCTAGTATTTGTACCACTAAACTTAGCTGGATCGATGGACAGCTTTATAAATTATCCAGGTGCATACTCTTGCCCACGTCAAGAATTCAATTAGCATAAAAGGAGTTTGTTATGATCAGTCCTAAAATACTTGTGATGTTTCAAATAGACCAAGAAGTGGAGGATAGGAAGTAAAGCCACCACTCCCAAGATAGAATCAAAGCCCAGATCAAATCTAAAAGAAGTATTTCGGGAAAACGGTTACGTGGTTTCGCTCTGCGCCTGGTGCTTTACTCTGTTTTATTTTGTATTACCTTCAGCTACAAGTCTTCTCCTCCCAGGGAAGCAACTGTTCTTCAGGGCAGTCCTCAAATTCTGACTTCATATATTAAAAATTATATCGTAAAAACCTAGATGTGATAGTAAATCCTTAGTATTTTGTATACCAAACAGTTGTAACCACAAATCCATTTTAAGAGTCATATCTTGGAAAAGTTATAAGCATATATGAAACTTAAAACTTCTAAAATCTTGGTTAGAGAATAAAACTAAATTCCACATTTAGTGGAATTAAGCTTCTACCTAATAGCCTTTATGCCAACTTTCCGAAAGCAGGACTGGTATCGGGTTTCCATATAAACCCAAGAAAGCAGTTTATCCATCCACAAAGCCCAACCCTTGCTCCAAGTGAGCATATTCCTGGGTCCAAATGATGAAGCTTTCATGTCTGTCATGTGCAAGTGTTAATGAACCCAGGCTGTTTCACATGACTGTGTCCAGTGTCTACAGTGCATGTTGCAGTCTAAACATTTTCTAAAGTGCCTATAAGTACACAAATTTGCAACATCACATCAGCGTTAGAGAAATTCCTTCATATAGTATAGAACAGGCCTAGAATTTAAAGTGAAACTACACATTTTTATATCTGTTTCAGTTAGTTTTGGAATGCAAGCATAAATAAACAATTCCAGTTCAATCATATATTTCAGTGTTATTAACAGTGCTAGGACAAAAATAGATCTTGTGCTTATTTAGAAAAGGTCATTTTGAGATCCAGGAGTATCTGATACTTAGAATCCAATGGAACATCTCTAATTCTATACAGTAGATACTAGTAAGTGAAGCTTAGTGAGTTTTTAATTATAAAGAGATTGTGCAAATATTTAAGGTGATTATCAACCATTATTAAATCCAAAAATTCCATTAAAATTGTGTCTAATCAGCATGGCAGTTCAGGAGTTTAAAAAAGGAACCTAGACACAAGTCCTAAATGGTACTGAGAGAGGTCCCGGCCCTGCCACTGAGCCAAGATGCAGAAGTGTGGCCCCGTGGCCACGTCTTTCCATGGCTTTAGAAATCTGGTTGCTGACTCCATTAGATGAGTGGGTGGGAATGGTGTAGAGGAGCAAGCCCCTCTATATGCCCATGTGTAGAGTGTGCTCACCCACAGGGAAAATCTAGACAGGGCCCTGGCGTTGCTGTTGCAAACCTTAGCACATGGCGCGGGACTGCACCAATGTGGCCTGACACAAGGCTTGCAGGCATGTGGCTTCCATGCCTGCCTTCAGTGGGCCTGTCACACAAGGCAGGCACCAAGGACAGCAGGCCGGGCTCATCGGATGTCCCTGTGCCATCTGGGCCATGCCCTGGGCAGAGGGAAGCCCCTCATGCCTACACCTGCCCTTTCCTGTGCCTGCCTGTTCCTAGAGCTCCTCGTACCCCCTTTTGGTTTGTCTTGTTGAGTCTTTAAATTTTAGTACGTGGAGACTAAGCTGTACTCTCATTTAGCATAGAAAGTTTTAACTAACGCTGCAAAGGAAAATGCATACTCCGCCTTCTAAACCCTATGGATATCTTGGCCATCTAAATCTAAAAAAAAGTTCTATCTAGTAAATGACTTAACTTACACATACACCTGGGAAAGCAGATTCTTCCTGGAGTAGTTTGTGAATGATGTCAAATGGAGGCTTCAGGGAAGAACATAACTTTTTCTTTTTTAAAATACAAATGAATGTGCCGTAGAGACGCACCATGCTGCCAGAGCACAAGGAAACGCCCCGACAGCATGCTTCTGGAGAATTAGGAGCGAGTATTGTTCTATCTCTAGCTCTGATGTTCTCATTAGGCCATACTTATAATTTCCAGGATTTTTAACTATGCCTCACGGATAGAAGGTTTGGAGAAATGGCAGTTGCGACTTGCACAAGAATACCTGGTGTAAATGGAGATTAGAAGTAGCATTCTGAAGAGAGCTAAATAAGAAAGAATTCGTCACTATTTTGTGCATGTGAGGGAAGAGAACACACATAGCAGACCGTGTTAGTGGGGGAAACTGAAGGAATAGTACACACAATCTTTTCTCCTGACTTAGCAGCAAACTATTTCAACTGCTTGTGCATTTGCATAAAAATCCATGCATCATACTGAATTCTAATCCATTTCTCACTTAAGCCATACTAATGCTTCATACAACCAAATGAAGCAGAATTAATCAAACCTATTAGATTCATTCCTAATCCCTAAAGGACTTATGTCTTTAGCATTTCCATGCTAACTAAAACTATTAATTGATTTTTTTTCTTAAGATGTCAGATGTGGCTGCCTCCTAAATATACCTATATAACTTCCTAAGAGTTTTTCCCAGGCTTGAAGAACAATTAAAAGCAGAGAAATGTTGAGGAACCCACCCAAGAGGCCAGTTCAAGTGCTGAAACACCTTCCCCAGCTGGGCCAAGCCAAGTCAATCTCTTCCTTCCCCTGGGTTCCCAGAGCTTTCTGGGTGTTGTGAGTTGAATGTGTCATATGTAGGACTGTGGGCCCCTTCATGGGGGGAGAATCAGGTCTTATTTGTGCGGTGTCCCCACAGCACCCTGCAGGGGACAGGTGCTCAGCTAAAGCTGGACTGGGCATGAGGCGGATGAGGTCATCTCTTCTCACGTGAACGTTTAGCTCAACCTCAGTCATGGAGCCTTGTACAGACACTGGCCACAAAGCAGGGGCTGAGCTGGCCTCCAGTGATCTCCTAGAAGTAAGCCAAGGCAGCTCTGGTCCAGACCCAGTGCAGGTGTAGGGAGAAGGGGAAAGGGAAGAAACGGCGGCTACCAGTGCACGCTCTGTTCCCCAAGGGAGCTGCTGCCTGCATAGGACAAGCAGGACAGGACAGGGGTGCTCATGAACACGTCAAAAGGAATGGCAAGAGTCTTTCTGGAAGGAATGGCTATTGAGAAAACCTTGGCTCCTTCCCTTGGGCACCTCCTCAATCTGATCCAAGATACTCTGTGATCATCGCTTCACTGCCTTCAAATCTCCCAGTGAAATTAAGGCTGGGTCACAATTCATGACACCAGATGCTACATAGAAAGTAAGTCAAGATATAAAAGAAAACCATTTATAATAAAAAATGTCTTAGTTGTAAGACTGAGAGAAGCTAATCAGCATACCACCAAACTGCTACAGTTGTTGGGGGGTGGGGTGGGTAGAAAATATCATTGGAAAAAAGGATCCATCAGACAGAGGTACAAAAGCTGGGCGTGGTCCCAGGCTGTGGCTTCCTGGCTGGACTCTCACACGGTCGTTTCTATGGTTTCAATCACTTCCAGGTCAGACTGCGAGGGGGAGAGAAGGGTGCACTCATCCGGTTCCCAGCTGCTCTCTGGACTGTAATCTTCCTCTGAACTCAGTTCTGCTCCTTCTTCTGTGTCCTCGTCACACGATTCCACGTAGTGGGCCCCAATCGCATTGATCCCAGAGTCTTCAGAACTTGAGGGAGAAGAGCAGTGATCTATTTTTGGTGTATTGCTCTCTTTTGAAATTAAGGCATCGTGTGCAGAGACCTCCTCAGGGCTCATTTTGTGGGAATGTAGCGCCGGCTGCTTCTGCACATAACACATCTTCCCATTAATACATTTAACCTGATAGTTGTCAATAAAGAGGTCTGAGATCATACAGTACCTTGGTGAGTCAGGGGGCAGGGGAGGCTGGAAGACAGATGCAAATTTCAGAAAGTGCTCAGTGAGCGAGACTGAGATCTGAATGGTGTTTGTGGGCTCCCGAGGCCTGGCAGGAATCTCGGTGCTTGGAAGCTGTTCCACAGGGGTCATAGGCTGATACATGTATTTGCCTGTGGAGACACAAAAAAAAGACACTTGAAATCTCTAAGTATTACACAAACTATATTAATACAAAGATAATGGTTTCTTTCTGAGGATTCAGAATGTCTTTAAAAATATTTCAGTAACACCTCAAAAGAAACTAGTAATAAAATCATTCAACACCGTTATAGTCAATTAAAAAGTCAGCATGGTATATAATAATTTTCATCTAAAAGACTCTTTCTAAATCTCAATTTATATTTGAGTCTTTCTGATATCTCTGAAGTAGGTAGATGATACTATAATACTTATTTTACAGACAACTTTAAGTAATTTACATATCAAACTAGAACAAAGAATGTCCATAATACAGTAAGGTAAAAAATAGAACTTGCATGGCTGGGCATGGTGGTTCATGCCTGTAATCCCAAGCACTTTGGGAGGCCAAGACAGGCAGATCATTTGAGGTCAGGAGTTCGAGACCAGCCTGGCCAACATGGCGAAACTCATCTCTATTAAAAATACAAAATTTAGCTGGGCGTGGTGGTGCACGCCTGTAATCCCAGTTACTTGGGAGGCTGAGGCAAGAGAATCCCTTGAACCCAGGAGGCGGAGTTGCAGGGAGCCGAGATTGCGCCACTGCACTCTGGCAGTGGACTGCACTCCAGCCTGGGCAACAGAGTGAGACCCTGTCTCAAAAAAAAAAAAAAAAGTTGTAAAGTAGTATAATGTACTGTAAAATTATATTTCCATGTTTATCTCTTTTTAATGTATATATTCTTCCAGTTTTTAAATGTGTATAAGTTGATTATCAGAATTCCAGGAGATTTTCACTTTCTAGGTTTCTCTTTTTGCCATATTTGCACACTTATATACAATAGGTAATGGCCTGCTGGATCATCCTGGCCATGTTCAATGACTGGAGTAAGGGTTAGGGTGTGAAATGATTCCTCGAAGGACCAAAGCTCATCAGAGGCCTAAACAGGAGGTATTCTCTCTGACACCAATTCCACAGGCACTAAGCAACCTAAGCCAAGCAGAAGCAAAGGGCAAATGCACAGGGAGATGCAGAGGACAGCCTGCTGGATGTTTCTAGGAGACCAGCAGGCTTATCTCCAAGCCCTCCTCTCTGCTCTGAGCCCTCAACTGTTTCCCGCTTAGTTTACATGGAAGTAAAACCTAAATGGATTTGGTCTGAATGTGTCCCTTTCCTCATTCCATTTTTCATTCAACATCTAGCAAAGCCTCCCACATGCCAAGTGCTAAGGAAATAGGGTTGAAAATATCCAATCTGTAAGTCTAGAGTGATTTCAAAACAAAAAGCTAAAGCAGGGATGGGGGGGCGGGGCCAAAAAAAACTCCAGTCAAGTAGCCACAATTGTGGACATCATTTTTGGAGTTTTCCTAATTTAGCCAATTTATCGGTTCATGTTGTATCTTCTGCACATTGTTGACAGGGGTTTTAACCTTAGCACTACCTGCGTTTTGGACCAGATAATTCTTCGTTGTGGTGGGGGGAGGGGGAGGATGGCGCTATCCGACGTGCTGCAGGGTGTTTAGCAGCATCTTTGGCCTCTACCCACTAGATGTCAGCAGCAGCTCCTCCCCAAGGGAGGCAAATTCCCCAAGGGGTGAAATCAGCCCGGTCAAGAACCACTGATTATGGTATCTTCATGAGCATTTTTTCCAGGCGAAACACTCGTGTATGGCTCTTGCTCCTGTTTCTTTCTTTGTCAGGCTGGAAATCCTTCTAGGACAGGAATCACATTTGTAAGAAAAACTAGCTTTGGTTTTATAATGTTAATGAAGCCACAGAGGAGTAGCAGTTTCAGATTAGAAATGTAAGTAGTAAAGTTGCCACAAATCATGCAATCTCAGTAATCTATTCAGATCAGCCAAGCTTGCTTGTATTTTTTGTTTTTTAACTCCTATACCAAAAGAGCCATTCAGGTACCACAATTTCTTTATAACCAAATTACTCTAAAAATACCTTCATTTTCATCCTGGGGTACCACATGAAAAAGGTACACTTAAAGCCGTTAAGGCTCTGGGTTTCCAGGGTGCTTCCAAGCCCAGACAGACCTCATGTAAAGCCCATGGTCTGATAAAAATGTGAGAAGAACCCAGTCACACCTGCCTGGGAGAACTATGTTTAAAATATACCAGGCATTTTCGTTTCTCTAGATCTTTAAAATAATTATTACTTGTCAGGCAGAGTTAAAATCAGGTCAGATCTAAGAGCTGACATGGTAGGACCTCTGCCCCTAAGCACTGTGAACAATATTGGCTGAAGGGCTAAAGAAGGCTGACCTTTAAGCCTCCCTCCAGACCCTCCAGAGCAATGCGTGTTTGGGCACGCCATAGAGGACGGACTTGGAGAACCTGGGGAACTACTCTTCTGTCCACAGAGTGGTAAATAAAACATGGAATGAGGGCTTCGTCTTTTCCATTCTTGGCTGGTAGTTATGAGCTCAGGAGGCTGTGGAAGGGAGGCAGTCAAGAAGTGCTTGTATACGCTGATCAGGTTCATCCTGCCCTAAGTAACCTGTGGTTTAGTCAGTCACTTGACACAGCCATAGGGGGATCCTCAGAGTTGATTCATGCCGTCCAGAACCATCCTCAGATCCGGGGGAACAAGGCTTTATTTGTCCAGAGATAGAGGAAAAAGGTGAAGCCTGGCTTTAGGACTCCCCTCACTCCTTTTTTTCCTTCCCCTATCTTTGTTTCTTCATAATATCTTTACTTTCTTTCCTCTTGGCTCTTCCACTCTTTCTTTCTCTGGTCCCCTCTCATCCAAAGCTCTATTTTTCTTTCTCGAAGTGCTGTGCTATGGACTGAATGTTTGTATCCCCCTAAAATTCATGTTGAAACCCTAATCCCCTATGTGATGGTATCTGGAGGTGGGGCCTTTGAAGAGTAATTAGGTTTAAATGAGGTATGAAGGGTAGAGCCTCTGTAATTGGTTTAGTGTCCTATGAGAAGAGGGAGAGATCAGATCCCTTTCTCTCTCTCCCAAGTGAGGATACAGCATCTGCAAACCAGGATGAATGTCCTCAGCAAACACTGACTCTGCCTCAGTCTTGGAATTCTCAGCTTGTAAACCGTGAGAAATACACGTTTGTTGTTTAAGCCACCCGGTCTATGGTATTTTCTTAGAGCAGCCCAATCCGACCAGGATGTATAGTAAAGAGAAATGCAGCTGGGTGAGGAAGATGAGAACCAGATTCCACTTCCTTCTACAAGGTACGCCTAGTAAATGTGTTTACTTAGAGTGAGGGTGAGAGCCCATGATCTGGTGATACGGGGACACAAGGAAAAAGAGAAAGAAAATAGTAAAGATGGCCACATTAAAAAATAAAAAAACCTTTAGTAACCACCTTTGAAATATCAATTATTATATAATACTCTATTGTTTATGAACACATAAATAATTAAACTCACATCAAAGATCCCTGGGGTATCCTATGCTGAGAATCCGTGTTCATAAGGATAGCTCCCAGGCACTGCAAGACCCTGAGTTATCAGAGATTCAATTATGTTTACTGTACTATGAGAATAAAATGAACACACTTCTTCAACAGCAAGGATTTCTGGAGATTTAGCCAAGAAATTCAATAACCACTATATTCTCTGAACAATCGTAATTAAGAGTTTACTGTGTTACTTAAAGGATAAATAGATGAGAATGTTTAAACCCTAAAGCTCTAAAAGGAAAAGGTACTCAGAGAGAGGGCTTAGAGAAAAATAGCAAAAGGAGAATTCATTTGATCCAGCAATTCCAATTCCACTTTTGGGTCATACCTGAAAGAACGGAAAGCAAGGTCTCAGGGGTATTTGAACATCCATGTTCACAGCAGCATAATTCACAACATCCAAAAGGTGGAAGCAACCCAAGTGTCCCCATGGATGAGCAGATAACAGGCCACATATATGTAAAATATAACACAAGCCTTGAAAAGGAAGGAAATCCTGACCCATGCTACAACTGGAAGAACCCTGAGAATAAGTGAAATAAGCCAGACACGGTAAGACAAACACTATATGATCCCACTTCTTTGATGTATCTAAAGTAGCCAATTCATAGAAACTGAAAGTAGAATGGTGTTTGCCAGGGACTGGACATACCAGGAAATGGGGAGTTGCTGTTTAATGGGAACAGACTGAGCTTTAGAAAACGAAAAGAGATGTGGAAATGGATGGTGGTGATGGCTGCACAATATAAATGTACCTAACACCACTGAACTGTACATGTAAAAATGGTTAAGATGGGCCAGGCTTGGTGGCTCACACCTGTAATCCCAGCACTTTGGGAGGCCGAGGTGGGTGGATCATGAGGTCAGGAGTTTGGACTAGCCTGACCAACATGGTGAAACCCTGTCTCTACCAAAAATACAAAAATTAGCTGGGCGTGGTGGCATGTGCCTGTAGTCCCAGCTACTCAGGACGCAGGAGAATCGCTTGAACCCGGGAGGCGAAGGTTGCAGTGAGCCGTGATTGCGCCACTGCACTCCAGCCTGGAGGACGGAGTGAGACTCTGTCTACAAAAAAAAAAAAAAAAAAAAAAAAAGTTAATTATATTTTACCAAAACGTACCCCAAAAAAGTGGCCTGAGGTTACCTGCATCCATAGTTCAGTTCTTTGACTTTATATATTTTAAATTAGTTTTATACTTTTAGTGTAATTTACGGTGTTAACAGGCTGAAGGGAAAGAACCCATATGATCCAGAGTATATAAAGAATTCTTATCCCATAAGAAAACAATGAAATTTTCTTAAAAAGAGGTGTGGCTACATAAGAGTAACATGGAGGGATCTTGACGGTGATGGAAATGTTCTGTATCTTTTTTTATTGTACTTTAGGTTCTGGGGTACATGTGCAGATCATGCAAGGTTGTTGCACAGGTACTTACATGGCAAGGTGGTTTGCTGCCTCCACCCCCCCATCACCTATATCTGACATTTCTCCCCCTCCACCCCCACTGCCCCTCCCCTTGCCCCCGCACAACAGACCCCAGCGTGTGATGCTCCCC